AGAGAATGCATCTGCCACCTTTATTGCCAGGAGAATGCATGCTATATGTCTGTCTGTGTGTCTGCTGTAAGGAGTGAGCAGCCTTATATACAGACTTACAGCACAGTGGAGAAACCCCAGATGTAAGTGCTCATGTTTTCCTTGTGCTAGATATTGATGACAGGTGGATAAGGCTGGGGCTGTAAGCCAGGACTAGAGAACAGGATGCACCTGTAGTTATCAGCTGACAAGCAATGCACAGAAATCTGTGGGGGCAGGGACCCAAGAATCTTTGGGATTACTGCTTGCTGGTAATGGAGTTTGATTATAGAATGAACAGGTGGGGCAGTTTCTTACTATTTTCTTGGCTTGTTGCCCAGTGATAGAAAAATCCTTTTTTAAGCTTTTGCTATTAACATGGTGTTTTAAAAATGAAATTCTGAAGCTTCTAGCATACTTCCTATTAATAAATGACTAATCTCATCATTACCTTGTGCTAGAGGACCTGGAAGACCCATATGGAATCTGATGTATGTTATATATATAGGATGAGTTCTATTCCTGATAGTTTCCTGAAATTGTATAACAATGAAGTTAATTCCGTATCATCAGGAATAAATTTAGTGGTCTCAATGTGTAAAATGACTCTCTTTGCATATTGAGAGTCAGTAACTATATTGAAAGGCTCTGTAAAATCCATAAGTACCATGAGAGTGGCGTACAACTCTGCCACTTGTACAGAGTTTTAAGGGCTTTGAACTACTTTACTTATATTTCCTGATTTATAACCTGCTTTCCCTGACTTGTTTGCATCAGTGTAGAATGTAGGGACTCCAGAGATTGGCATTTTTTTCTTACAATACATGGAAGGATCCAAATTGTTTTCTTTATGAATTTGATTCTCTCTGTTTTGGGATAATTGTTACTAATCATTCTCAAAAAGTTACTGCAAGCCCCTTGCCCATATTCATTATCCTTCTATAAGGAGGAAATTTCTTCATTTGTTAAAGGTACTATAATTTCTGTTGGGTTCCTTCCAGTTAGTTGACGAAGACTTAATTTACCTCTTAAAATCAATTCAGAGATCTTTTCTATATATGTCATCAGTTTTTTATTCTGTTTATATGGCAGAAATATCCATTCTAAAATGATATCTTTCCTCTGCATCAAAATCCCTGAAGATGGTAAATAACCAGAATATAGTCTAGTTTTGGGTCCACACGGTCCACATATGCTTCTAGTATTCTCTTTTCTACCCATTCTCAATCTTTTTCAGCCTCAGGTGATTTTGGAATTACCTCCCTAGAGTAAACACTGCTTATGTTGAGTTGATACAAGGAGCCTAAGCCAAAGCATTTAGAGAAAAGTCTGATGTAACCAAGGAAATAGGAAGCCCAGCTAACTTTAAATATGACAAAATGTGCTTGAAGGGTCATGATCAAGCCTGTGAGAGGTACAGAAGAGACAGGGAGGCATTTACTGGGTCATGAAGAGTTGGGGAATGTGATGCTTTCAAGGAACAAAGACCCAGAAGCCTCAAAGCAAATCCTCAGGAACATTGAACCACCAGCTTGTGGCTGATGAGCCACTGTAGAAAAAAAGCGCATGCAGGGTTGCTGCTGTGGTGCGGGAGCCAGCAAGTGGTTTGGGTTTTAGCTTCTCACTCAATGCATTGTCTGAACAGTGTTCAGAAGTAAAGCTTCAGAGAAATGTCAGGAATCACATGTTCATTACTAGTGGACTGTTGCCGTTCTCATTTAGTCGGGAGGCTTAAAGGGATCTTCCAGGATAAAGAAGGGACGACATCCACAGATAACCTCCATGAGTGTCATCTGATGGATATCCAGGTCGTGGTTGGAGGGCAACTACATGGATGTGACTGTAGCCATCATAAAAGCCTTAAGGAGCTATCTTGTTGCACATGGGGTTTAGTGGGGCTCAAGGTGAGGAACACATTAGGATGGTCAGATAGGTCTTAATTCCAAGGCTCTTGTGCTGATGCAGCAGAAAATCATAATCAGAAGATGGGGATTAAGGGCATTCCAACATCAATGAGGGAGGCTCCTAGAAAGCAAGGACTGTTTGGAGGACTGAAGTTGCTACGCCTGTATTTGAAAACCGGCCTGTAGGAATGAATGGAGCCATGCACTCTTTTTGCTAGAAGTTACTGCATGCATGCGTCTGTTTGTATTCATCAACTTAGCAACCTCTGGAGCAATTAATTAACTCAAAAGTAATTACTGAATAGTAATGTGTGTTTTACCTGTTTACAAACCACACCTGCCTCTGTGGATCTCATGGGCCCCGCAATGATGAGCCAGCCTCCTTCCAAATTGTCTTCTTAAGAGGCTCTGGATCCTGGATAACAGACACTGAAACCACCATATTGTGTGTGGCTCTAAACCCTTATTATTTGACTGTTAAGTTCTGTATTTTATTGGCTATTTATGGTGACTTACAGTCCATCTATTTACTTAGCCATTTGGAATTTTAAGGGTTGTTTTATAAGCATCGTAACTTACTGACTTGAATTGAGTATTGATTTTTGAAAGTTCCTAGTGCAGCTTCAGTCCTCAAATTTGACAAGCACAAGGTTTGTTTTGAAATCACAGCAGTGAAACTGCATGGTTTTTAAGTGTCCTCAAGGGAACAGATTACCCTTCCACATTGCACCACAATTTATTATTGTTTAAATCGATGCATGACTCCTTGCATACCAGCCTCTACTTTGGGTCATGCAGACTTAACCTTAGAACAAAATCACTTTGTTCAATGAAAAACAGGGCCCCTCCAGTCCTCTGGACCCCTTTCTCCATGTCCCATAAGAAAAAAAGTTTATTTGACAGAGTGATAACCTTCAGCATAATTCCTCAAGAAAATAAAGCTGGCAATCAATTTATCTCTCATGCCATCAAGGGGAACTTAATGCCAGCTGCAGCATTAACTCCTGCATGGCAGGCAAACAGACCTCTAGGGGACAGTCCTCTAGGAGAGAGGACCTTGTACTTAATAAAACAGTAATAATATGAAAGTATCATAAGTTTTCACAATTTAAAATACGCAGTCTAGACTTCACTCTTACTTTAAATATTTGCTCAATAGTGCTTAATCTTTTAATGAGATGATGTTTCAAAAGTATTTGGTAGAATTATGAAAATGACTTCAGGGAGTTCGTCCCTACAAAGCAAGGTGGGTTGCTGGTGAACAGTTTTGAGAGTTTCTGCCACGTATGTGGCTTATCTACCCATCTGGCTGCCATTTATGCCTGACTTTGGATCTGAGTGTCATCTTGGAGATGGAGGTGATGTGTCTTAAGGGGTCCTTGCACGGATTTGAGTCTACCTGGTATAATATTTTGTAATCTCATTTGACTGAAGGGAGTCAAGACACTTAACCGAGATGTTTTTATTGAAACATTTGAACTTGTAGTTTGTAGGTCCAGGGGGTCTGTTTGTCTACCGATTGAGGCTTGATGACGTCTGACAAGATAGAGCCGTGCAGAAGCGCTATGAAGCCCCAGCTTGCTCCCTCACCTCTGGCCCGCACTGTCAGTCACTCACGGCTTTCCCCTGGCCTGGTGCTCCGGTCACTCACTGTGTGTTTGTATCCCGATCACCCGGAGGTCTTTTAACAGTGGGTTCTCACTGTGAAGTTTGTCTAGAGCACTCTGTTCCCTTTTACATGTGATGAGAGCTTTTCTATCCTCCCAAGAATGTGATTCCAATGGCAGCCTCTTCCGGTCGAAGATGTGTTGAAGCCTCCATGGCCAGAAAGAGCTGATTGGTTCAGAAGTGTTATTGACCAAGTTTGGACCAATCAGAACACCGTTTGTTTTTTTTGGGGGGGGGGGGGGTTGTAGCCTGGAATCTGAAGTGGAAAACCAGCCACTCCCTGGAAGTGCCAGTGGGGACAACGCTCAGGAGAACTCTTGAAGCTCACTTGCAGCCAAGTCGGACACCTGACTGTTCATGAGAGATCCCAGTGTGTGGGGAGAAACTCCTCAGGCTGAACTGTGGACGCCTATTTCAAGGGTTCTTGCCTTTCAGTTTGGCCCTTAGATTTTTCTTTTAAATAATCCGTCCCTCCTTCAATTATGCTTGTCTAAATTGCATTTCTGTTCCTTGCAGCCCAGGTAACAGAATTGACGAGGTCTGTCTGATGACCCCCTGCCTCCAAGTTCCTCCCTTCAGCACATGAATGATAACTCTCTTCCCCTCATCATTTTTGTGACCACCAAACATCAGCAGTCTAATTTGGTTAAAAGCTTTTCAGGACTCATAGGTGAGCTGTTTCCAGGCCCTGGAAACACGACCATGCTTTTTTTTTTTTTCCATCACTAGTTCTAGGGCAGGAATATTTTAGGCATGATGGGGGTTATTAGGGGTTTGGGCAATATGTCCCAAATCACGTAGATGATGGTTCCATCATGCATTGCTGCTTTCTGTTTAAGGACAAGAGAACTTTCAGCATCTTGCTGATTGAAGTGTTAAAGAAAATGAGCCCAAAGGAGTGTCTTTGAGTGTAGCTTTACTAAACGGTATTTATACATCTATAATTTCTTATTTGTTGGTTTGTTTCGATTCTGGGGGTAGGGCCTTGCTAGGTTGTTCGTGTTAATCTCCAATTCAAGACTCCCCCCTTCCCCCACCTAACTTCCAGCACGATTTCTTGAACTATTTGGGTTGGACTTTAAGAAATTTTATCTGATGAGAAAATGCTTATCTAGTTGAGGGGTATTTTCTTTATCTGATTTTTGTTAGTGTTCATGTTGAGGTAACTTTCTGAGGGCCAAAACAATTTGTCAAATGAAGTAAAAAAAAAACTGGAATGAGTACTTCAAGAAAAATTGTAAAAATTTTGAAAAGAAAAAAGAGAGAGAGAGAGAGAAGAAATGCATCCAAGGAGAAAGGATTGGAGAGAAAGAGTACCAAGCAAGCAAATGAAACTGGGATGGGGTAGGAAGAAGACATGAGTGAAACCAAAGGGAGCCTACACAGGGAGCTGGCACCTTCCTCATCTCCAGGCAACAGGGAGCTTATGCCAAAAAACTACAATTGGCTGCCCAGCATGATGGAGGTTTTAGCTACGTTGACTGCTGCTGGTAGGGTAGCACATCTTGCAGCCGAGGTGAGCTCTAAGTGGGTTTTGGGAACGGTGGTCTGAGCCTCTCAGACTGCATCTAGTTTCACCTGGACCCTTTGGCTTGGACAGATGCTCCTGGGAGCAGCCGGATACCCCACTGCCCTCTTCTGGACTCTCATGGTTGGAATGACTTGAGAGAGATCGGAACACCAACGGTTCTCGGTTCAGAATTCCAGACCCATCTGCCCGGCTACTGAAAGCACAGCTCCTAATTTAAGCTCTGGAGAGAAGGTGATGTAATTGTCTTTAAGCCTCATCTCCCCCCTTTGTTTTCTTTGCCACGGAGTATTGATCGGATGAGCTGTTTTCTCTCATTTTCACTAACTGGCTTGTAAAGCACAAAGAATCAGCTGATTCATCGAGAAAACCGCTCCGAGTGCCTTACACACTGTGGATTCAGCATAGAGCAGTTTAATCAACTCCCAGAAAAAAAAGTCAGCTTTCAGTTCTTTCCTGAAGAGAGGGTGGCGGGGACAATGTGGAGAGTGTTCGGTGGTTTCAGAACCATTAGGAAGGAGAAAGAACGCTGCAAGTCACGGATTGCACAGTCTTGACGAGCCAATATGGTTGATAGATGATAAACGTGTTTGTAAAAGACATCCACACTTGGGCAGACACCCATTATCAACAGCTGCAAAGCTTAGAGAGGATATCCTGTAGGGCGATCATTCACAAACACGGAAACACATAAATAAATACGAGGGTGGCTTCAGACCGACTCTACCATCTCAAAATTCACCCTATAGAGATACTGTGTCACCACAGTCAGGACTTTAAGACTGATCTTGGCCGTGCCATTTACAGACTTGGATGGGTGACAAGGCCTTCTTCATATGTCACTTTATTATGAGTTTGAAATAAAGAGGAGCCAAGGTGGTGGGGCGGAATTGTTTGTTTTCTGTTGTGATGGAGCACCATGCAGATCCCAACTGCTCAGCCAGCTGCATCATAAATAAAGGGGAACAGATGCGGCCTGGGGGTGGGGTTGGGGGTGGGGTCACCGGGAAGCTGCCAGATGAGCTTGTGAATGGATTCGTTTTATCATAGCAGATTCACCATGAATACTGAAAGATAACTAAAATTGCTAACATATTTTTTTCTTAAGAACTTGAGTTGGAAAGTTAGTTTTAAGACTCATAACGACCTGTCCTCATGTATCCTTTTTTAAACTTCTTTGTTAATTACGCTTTTTATTATCATTATTTATTTTCGTGAATTTCCATTCTATACTCTGATGTTACAGTCTTCTAAGTCAGAAACTTATGGAAGAAGCGTCCATACTTCTTGCATCCGGAATCAGGTCTACTAATTCTACATTCCCCGAGCCTAGCTCCGTCTTTTTAAACCCCCATGATCAATATCTTAATTCAGATTTTATAAGGGCCCTTTTCAATGAGATTCCAGTCCATTTTCAAGGACTTTGACTCCCTCAGCTGACAGACCTTTCAAGCAGCTCAAGGGATCAATGCTGACTTAGTGTAACTGTGTCATGCTTCTTCACCTTTCCGTGAAAGACAAAATTTTACGTTTCCCCGGTTAGCATATTAAGTCCAGCGATCAGCTGATTTTTTGGATGTGTGTGTGTGCATGTGTGATATATGCATATGTGTGGGATGCATTTGCCCATTTGTACATAGGTGGAGGTCATGGGTCAATATTGAGTGTTGCCTTAGTCAGGGTTACTATTGCTGTGATGAAACACCATGACCAAAGCAGCTTGGGGAGGAAAAGCTTTATTCAGCTTACATTTCCACAAAACAGTGTGTCATCAGTGGAAGTCAGGACAGGAATTCAAGCAGGGGAGGGACCTGGGGGCAGGAGCTGACACAGAGGCCATGGAAGGATGCTGCTTGCTGGCTTGCTCTCATGGCTTGCTCAGCCTGCTTTCTTGGAGAACCCAGGACCACCAGCCAAGGATGGCACCACTCACAATGGGCTGGGCCCTCCTTCATCAAACACTAATTAAGAGAACGCCCTATAGGCTTGCCCACTGTCAGATTTTATGGAGATCTTTTCTTAATTAAGGTCCCCACCTCTCAGATGATTTTTATCTTGTGTCAAGATGACATGAAGCTAGCCAGGACAGAGACATTCCTCTGTTACTTTCTATCTGAGTTTTTGAGATTAGGTCTCTCTTGAAACCTGGAGCTTGCCATTTTAGTTAGGTTGCCTAGCTAGTGAACCACTGAGGGTACACTTGCCTTTTCCCCCTCCCCTTCCTCCAGTACTGAGATTACAGCTCTACGCCATCATGCCCTGATGGAGATATGAATTCCTTAATCTTTTATGGGAAACATCTCCCCATTGCTGTGATAAGCCAATTTCCCCCCAGATTTATTTTTATTTTATTCGTATGGGTGTTTTGCATTCATGTATGCATGTATACCCCATGCACATACATGGTGCCCATGGAGACCAGAAAAGGGCCTCAGATCCCCTGGAACTGGAAGTACAGATGGTTATGAGCCATCATGTGGGTGATGGGGATTGAATCTGGGACCTTTAGAAGAACAGCAAGCGCTCTTAACCACTGAGCTATTGCTCCAATCCCAGAGCAGCCAGTTTTTATAGCCTCAAGGATTAACATTTCCCAAATGCACACTCACACAGACCGTTTATGTTATTCTTGCTGCTGTGACCTAAGATTGAACAGTTTCATTTTGGCTCCCAGTTGGAAAGTACAGTCCCTCATAGGGGGAGGACTCGTTACAGTTGGTGTGTGAGGTGGTTGGACATGTAACACCCGCAATTAGGAGGCAGAGAGCAATAAATACTGGTGCCCAACTCACTCTCACTTTTGACTCGGTTTAGGACCCTAGTCCATGGTTTTATGCAGTCTACATTTAGGGTAGGTCTTCTGCATTAATTAAGCCTTCCCAGAAACATCCCTATAAGCACACACAAGAGGTGTGTTTCCATGGCAATTCCAAATCTAGTCAGTTAACAACTGATGAGTAACCAACTTACAGGTGCACTTGCTTTTCCTTTCGGGGGATAAACATGATTTTTTCTCTGCCTGTGTGATTCTTCCCTGCATTGGATAGTGTGTTTGCTCTCATCAAAGCTTCTTTGGTCTGTTAAATTCCTCCTCAACCTTTGCAACTTGGTTCCAAGAACTCCTCTTCTCTGAAGCCCCATCATGAATGTCTGTTGATTTTGGCAGTCAGGACTATGAGACCTACTTGTGGGCCCACTTTTAGTTTGATAGCATGCTCCCTCATTTCCAGTGCCTGCACTTCATGTCAGGATGGCTTTAACCCTGGGCCCAGGAGTAGACTGTGTAACTGGATTAAAACAAGCCAGTTTGTGCTGTCCATTTTCTTGCTCATACATGCCCATGTGATTCAAAGGACATCTGTGAAAGCAAAAGAAACCCAGTCTGGGCACTGCTCTTTTAACTGTAGAGGAAGCGATTTTCCCTCTGTTAGGCGGGGGTTGTGAAACTGTGACCTGGACTATCTAGAACCGTCCCTCTGGGGTCAGAGCATATCCACAGGAAGAGTTGGTAGAGGCAAAGCCTAAAGGCACGATGGCTGCACCACGCCCCTTTAAATGGTAAGCTCCTGTATAGACTTTGCGGTTTGGCAAACCCATAAAATATTCATTTCTTAAGCTAGGTGAGGTTGGGTTTTCTGTCACTTGCAATGTAAAGTACCTTAACTCTGTCCCAACTATTTCCTTGTTTTAAAAATAATTCGGACTAATACCTGGTGTTTGGATAAACTGGATAATCTAAGCTTTCCTTCTAAGGGAGGTGTATCATTTGTTTATAAAAGAAAACATTTAATAGGTTTAGGGTTTCAGAGGGCTAGAGTCCATGATGGAGGAGCAAAGCATGGTAGCAGGAACAGCTGAGAGCTCACATCTTTACCCACAACCAGGAGGCAGAGAGAGAGCACACTAAGAATGGCATGAGTCTTTTGAAACCTCAGATCCTGCCCCCTCCAACCCACTCCAGGGACATATCTCCTTCAAAAAAGCTGCACCTAATCCTTCCCAAACAGTTCCACCATCTGGAGATCAAGTGTTCAAACATATGAGTTGGGGATGGTGGTGGTGGTGATGGTGGTGGTGGTGGTGGTGATGGTGGTGGTGGTGGTGGTGGTGGTGGTGGTGGTTATTCTCATTCAAAATGCCCATCTTAGTTATTTTTCTACCATATTCAAAAGCATCTTGGAGAGGAAAGGGTTTATTTAGCTCGTGTACCCTGAATCACAGTCCATTGAAAGAATAGATGGTCAGAACTCACGCAGGGAAGGAACCTGGAGTCAGGAGCAGATGCAGAGGCCATGGAGGATGCTGTTTACTGGTTTGCTTTTAATGGTTTGCTCTGTCTGCTTTCTTACAGCAGAGGTGGTACTACCCACAATGGGCTGGGCCCTCTCAAATGAATAACCAACTAAGAAAACGCCCTACAGGGTTGCCTACAGCCAAACCTTATGGAGACATTTTCTCAATTGGGGTTCCTTCCTCTCAGATGATTCTAGCTGTGTCAAGTTGATATAAAATCTAGTCAGCACACCACCACCATCCAAGTCCTCAGAGTGGGGGAAACTGAAAAACAGCTTGTTTTTTCACTTCTGCTCATGCCTTTCAGGCTTTAGTTTTAAATCCTTGGAGAATGTTATAGTGCGAATCTCAATAAGTCCTTTTCTTTTGACCCTATACTTTCTAGTCTGCCTCTTCCTTTGACAGCTCCATGATGCTCTATTTTTCATTTCTCCTCCGTCTTCCCACATTTATGCCTGTCACCAGGGGAGTGTCGTCTGTCAGTCTCTGCTTGGATGGAGGTAGAACCTGGGGTGGGGGAGGTCTTCAAGCCCTACAGTTAGAGGAGGGATAGAAAGTGTTTTGTTTTTAAAGGGTAGTCATAAGGTAGGAAGTTAAGTAGTGGGATTGAAAATATTAGTTTCCTTCTTAAATTTTTTTTGATTGCCACACAAAGAAATGGGCACTGAACTAGAACAAGGTATAATATTACTTATGCACTATTGTAAATGAAATGTTGGTTTTCTGCTTGCACCTCCTGAGTTACTATATTCAGAATTTCTGTCTTCTATTCTGCCATAGGTTACCTTATAAAATACTTTTACCCTAGAGGTGTTAGACTCTAAGGGCAAGCGTGGGTGTGGTGGCTATGCCAATAATCAACTAAAACCCAAGCTGTTGGGTACTGCTGTCAGGGATGCTCTTAATAAATTACATGAAGCAGGAAGACCAACCTTGAGTCT